TTGACTGTTACCCAAATATACCCATTTAATGACAATTAACCTGGTGACTGATGGAATACAAACATTGCTTGAAACATAGCATGATTTTGAGATAGTCTCTCTTTTTTCCATTCCAGAATCTCTCACAACTAAACAATGGAATTGATGTTAGCAAATATTCTGGCATCAGAAATACTGTTGGGTGACATAGCACACTTGTAAGCATTGTTCCTCCATGCAAATGAAAGGTATGAATCTTTAGAATCAAACCAGAAACCAATACAGAGACAATCTCTAAGGCCCTGTGTCCCCTTCTCAAAAACCTGACCAAAAGCTGCTAGTTTCTTGGTGATTGGTGACCTTGTCTTCTCTCAGCCAGCTTATACTATAACCCAGGCGTCAGCACACAAGCTGCTGGACAGCTCCCTTGGCCTGTTCCCTGCTTTCTATCTTTGCTTTTTAGATGTTCTTTAAAAAGACTCCCCACACAAGAAAGGTTTCTTATTGTGCACTGATGACATTTGAAGAAAACCTCTTCAGCCCTCTGCGGAGTGTTCTCTTAATAAGTCCTCTGCTCTCATTCATCCCCAATTAGGTACCTCATCCCTTCCCCCCCTTTGAGTATCAATTTCTATGAAGACTACAAAAGAAAAAAAAAACCTTCACTGGATTGACCATTGGACAAATCACATGGGCATTTCATAGTGTATGTTTTTGCTCCACCCAAGTTGATCACTTTCTTGAAAAAAAGCATCTTTTCAAGGACTGACCATCAGGATTCAGCCAGACTTACTCTTGGAGGTGCATTTTAAAGATATACTCAAAGATCGTTCTTTCTTCACACACCTACAGTCTATACATTACATTGGCTCCTATCAGGTTTACACAGTAAGACAAATTATTCACAAATGTTGACACTTTTCTTTTCTCCTTAGGCTGAATCAGGGTAGTAAACAGTCTGGCCAGATTCTAATCATGAAGAGAAAAAAAGGATTATACCTCCCTATGCCTGTGCATGGAAGTTAAATCCAGGAGCAGACTGCAGGGCTGCCAGGAGGCAGACAAGGAACCTGTGTCATGCAGGTTGACCTCAGAAGCCCTTCATTAACTCTTGTTCCTATTGAAAACCAGTTTTTTTCAGTACATCTCCACCAACACCCCCATGTTACCAGCAAAGGCAAATGAAGTGAGAAATGACAGAGTAGGTCACAGAAGCCTTACACCACAGGATTATTTTAGGGCTCATCTACCCACTCATATTACAGCACAAAGAACTGCATATCTGGAGGGGAAATGACCTGTTCAAGGTCACAGTGAACCATGTGAGAGATTACTAGAGCCTAGCACGAAATAAGTTCCCCTGGTATATTTAACACTCGGGCTCTCTTCAAATTTCCTTCTACAATATTCAGTGAACTGTAGCTCAAGTTTGTTTGTTTGTTTGTTTGTTTGCTTTCTGCTACAAGAAGTATCCCAAAAAGTCTAGTCTTTATGTCTACAGAGATATCCTTCTTCCCTGATGGCACATCATCTCCACAGTTATCTGCTACTAAACAGCATGTCCTTGACAGTCCTCAGTCCTGGGACTTGATCACTTAATTCAAGTATCACTTTCAAACCCTCCTACTCAGCTCTCTGGCATAGTGGATATTTCTGCGAATTAGTTTCTTTTCTTGTTGATGCAGATACTGTCTCTCTACCTAGTACCTGTCCTGTATTAACAGCAACCTTTCTTCAGGATGCCAGCTTGACAACCGCCAAGAAGACCCAATAGTCAAGGATCCTGCTTACAGTGCCAGCACTTTCCCACAGTGTGACTTTGTACAGGAATCTCTCAGAAGGTTTCCTCATCTGTCAACTGGGAATAACAGTAGTTCACTTTCCATAATATTTTGTATGAATTAATAATACATGGCAAGAGTAAAACTCTCAGCATGACATTAAAGATTCAATAACTACTTGCTATTCCTTGATCACTTTTAGGAAAAATTTACTTTGTCAATGCCATTGACACAATCAGATTCAAAATAAGAGGCCCACGCATGAGTACCTAGGGATCCTCCACATCCAAACGTGAGTTTTACAGAAAGCAGCCTTGATTCGTGGGAGAGGGAGAGGTATAAAAAGAAATGGATCCAAATGGAAAATCTCAGAAATTACCAATACAAGACAGAGTGGAAAGAGGGAAGATGGCTTTGGAGAATAAGAATAATAGATGGTATATGCAGAGACATACCTTAAGGGCCCCAACTAAATTTTTGTATTTTTGTAACATTCAATGCAAGCAACAACCCTGAGTCCAGGACCCAAGTTATGGCAGGGAGGGCTTTGCCAAGCACTATTATACCCTAGTGGTGGCTCCACACTCCCCACTAGTGGCAGGATTTGAGCCCCAATTTTGTACACACATCTATGACCCCTCCCTAAAAGAACAAAGTCACGGTGAAAATATAGTCTTACTGGCCATAAGTAAATATCAGAGAGCACGAATAAAGGTCCATCGGTGCAACGGAGCTGCCTTAGGACACTGGGAAAGAAGAGGTCAAAAATAATTCACACGGCCGACCCCCTCCTGGTGCTGTCAGAAACCCTCATTGCCAGGCAGCCTGGCCCTCTGAGAGCTCATTGTGCACTCCATGTTTACACGCAAACATTCGAAGACCAACACAAATAAAAAGCCCACGTCTCCCTCCACAGCTCCTGCTATACCCTGCCATCTGCTGAGTACCTCGCTAGCCAAATCCCTGTCGGGAGCTCTTGAGCTGCCAATGCAGGACTCTGGGGTGGGGCGGGGGTGGTGGTGGGAACCCAGTTCACAGTGTGGACCCAAAAAGCTTAGCGCAGCCAAAGAGGCAAGTGTCTGACTACTCCAGGGGCAGAAGGTCCCCAGTCACCCAGCTCCGGCCTGTGTATCAGGAAAAGGGTCCAAATGGAGTGTACCAGGGACTCTCATGCTTATTCTAAGGCACTCAAGACTTCCAGCTCAGGGCTTTGCTTGACTCTTACTGAGGTGCCCATCCACTTGAAAGCCAAAGTTAAAAATGGCAATAACTGCTAGCTCCAGGAATTCTGTATAAGTAGCTGGACTTAATTCTCACATCTTCGATGAACTGGAATGCTCTGAAGTTCTGAATGCCAACTCAGGCACTACTCAGGGGCCAGCGTTCTGTCTCCTTCACTTGAATGGCTACGCAGAAGGACCTCCAATCCTGGCATCTTATGTTATCTGGAGGAGAGCTATGTCGGGATGGAGGGGCAGGTGCATGACTGAGAGTGGTGAGGACAGTTTTTGTATATTTGAGAGAAGAGACCTACACCCCAAGCTTGGTGCCTTCATGAACTCCACTTAGACCCTTATTCACCACCTTCCATGGATGTGAGCAGCCCCTGGGTGCACATGGGAAAGGCTACTGAGAGTTTGTATGAATGTGTCTATGAGTGCTTAGCTTATGATGCAAGAGAGGCAGGGAAGGAAGGAGGGGGGGAGGAGGAGAGAGAGATTGTGTGTTTGTTTGTTTGTTTGTGTGTCACATGCCACACTCCAGAGGCACTGCCATAGGAAGTCCCCCGGGAACCCTCCAGGGATTCCCCTGCTTGCCTCCTCCAGAAATCTCCACAGAAAGCAGTTACTCAAGTAACAGCTAGTCAGAAAGGCACAGGGACCCCAAACCCGGTGGTCAGCCTCGTTGCTGGCTCAAATGCCAAAGAGCCAAAATGAAAGGGAAAGGAGCGAGGGTATTGCAAAATAGATTTTAAAACATCTGGGCTCCCAGGGGAGTGAAGTCTAGTCCATTACTGTGTATGTCTTTTCCGGAAAGCCAAGAGTTAACCTCGGAGGTTCCAGACTGGCTCCTAAGAATGCCAACCACTAAAGCCCTCGCGACACTGGAACCAGATCTAGATCCCCAGAAAACAAGGATCTTGGAGAAGCTTTACAACGCTAGCCTTTGGCGCCTCTCCCGCACTGTTGTTGGCCTGACTCCGACAACCAATCCCGCCCCGCGCCCCCAAGAGGGGAGGAGAGAGCAAGCGAAAAGCGAGCGCGGGAGAGCTAAGGGGAACAACATTTTTGTAAATGCTCTCTGAGATAATTAAGCTATCAATTACCCGGGTGGGAAATCAGCCGCGCTTCCCACAGCTCCACGGAAGGGCCGACTCCTCTGGGATTCGCGCCGGGAATCAGCAGGCGGCAAGCTGCTGGCGAACTTTCTGATTAACTTTTCTATTTGAACCCCCTACCCCCATCAGTTTCCTCTCCTGTCCTTTTTCTTGCTTTTATTATTATTAGCCCAGTAAGCGAACAGCAAGGACAAGCCTGCTCTCAACTAGGAGGAATGGAGAAGGGAGAAGGTGATGAGGATAACGGGGATGGAGGGAGTATGTAAAAGTGGAGAGCTTGGGCTCAGAGACCCAGTCCTCAAACATTACTCAATCGATTCCAGCCCCAATTCACAGAAGGCCAAACCGAAGCTCAGGGGGAAGCGACTTAGCCAAGGTCACCAAGCCCATACGGAAGCAGAGCCTTCCCGGACTGGGTCTTTCCTTATTCACGTAGCTACTCTGCAATGATCCTGAGAAAACCCACGGGAAAGGCAGAATCCATAACTCCGAGACCAGAGAAAAGTGGAGCTGTCCAGAGGGGTACTGCTCAGCTTGACCATTAACTGGCGTCAGGACAAGGGTCTTTCTTGCTCAGTTTCTGGTCAGAGCACACCGAGCGACTCGGGTCTCCAGCGTCCAGAATGCAAGGGGCGGAGCTCAAAAACGGATTGCGAAGCGGAGGGCCAGGTCCCCACTGCAGGATCCTTGGCACGCCCCCGGGCTCCCAGAGCGCGCGCTCCAGGACCTCCTGCCCCACACTCCTTCCCAACCACCTGTGCGCCCTCGGGGCCCCTTCGCTGCCCTTTGCCTACCCAGATGGGGCAGCCTGGAGTGGGGATCCCCAGGGCGCCCCACCAGTCTGGCATCACTTAGGGGTTCTGGGTTCCTTGCGACTCCGCGTGAGTGGCACCTACCCTTACCCAGGGTGAAGAAGGGCAGCTCTGTGTTGTCCAGGTCATCTTGCACCGCGATGCGTCCGGGGAGCTCATTACGCACAAAGAGCAGGAGACGAGACTCCGCAGCTGTGCCAGTTGAACCCGCGGAGCCCGGGGACGCGGCGGCCGCGGAAGCGGCGGCTCCTGCTCCGGCTCCGGCTCCGGCTCCTGTCCCGGCCGCGGCCCCGGCCCCGGCGCGGGCACCGCTCCAGCCGATGTCGCTTTCCCGCAGGGCGGGCAGCGTGGACACCGTGACGGTCTTAAGCCGGCATGGACTGTCGGGCTCCCGCGAGGCGGCGGCGGTGGCGCCGGCCAGAAGCAGCGGCGGCGGCAGTAGAAGCAGAAACAGCAATAGCAGCGGCGGCGGCGGTGGTGGCAGCGGCCCCGGGTTGAAGCCGAGACTCGGCCGTCCCCGAAGCCTCAAGCCGGGGCCCGGGCTCCGCCGGGCTCCGGCGGCGGCCATGGCGGGAGGGGCTGCGGTGCTGCGGGCGGTGGCGACGGTGGCGAAGAAGGAAGAAGAAGCAGCGGTGGAGACGACGGACACTGAAGCGAACCAGGACGCCCGAGCTAAGGAGCCTAGAGAGCCACTAGCCAGCAGCCCCCAGCTCTGGGCTCCGCCTCCCGATCGGTCCTGGACCGCCCCCCCGCGCCGCCTCTCCGCGCCCCGCCGCCGGCCCCCCTTCACCTGCTCCCCTGGCGGACCCTGAGCGATTTGGAGGCTCCGCCCGGCCTCGTGCATGCCCCAGTAGCTCCCTCCCCTTTCCCAGGATCCCCCCTATGGCTCCTGCACAAGGTTTTTCAGCTTCAACACCTTTCTCTAACATTCTTAACACTTAAGGGCCCTCTTGTGTCGCCTCCAATCCATCCTAGGTCAACTCAGCTGTCCTAGCTTCACCCCTTCCTTGGCTCAAACCCCAGGCTGCACGTAGGGGTGCACCTTAACCTAGTCTTGACCAAGGCCCTGCTCTCCTGGAGGCTGAGGAGAGCCTCAGGATAGCCAAGCAAACTTTCTCTCGTGACACCAATCTCAAGAATAAGTCTCTTTAATCTTCTACCCAGTTGTAGCGTGTGAAATAAGTTCTGGTGGGCATCAGGACCCCCTTCACAGTCATTTGTCTGCGATCTCACTACTAGGACACCACCTGCGCCCTCCATACAGGACTGGGTTGTTGCATTACATGCTAGTGAATGCAGAAGCTTTAAACTTCATTCCCTATTACCCTCCCCAGCAGCTGACTTCAGCTGGGCGGCTCTGGTACCCAGCCGCCTCCATGCCAGGCAGCCCACTCAGGCACTTTTACTTTGGATCCCTGCTCTAAGCCTAGAGCAGCTCTGTTTGGCTGCTGCTTCTCTCAGTGAGAAATTCCTGAAAAGGGTGCTAGGTAGAGACCTATCCTGGCTCCCTAAGCTTCTGGGTCCTTTCCCAGTTTCCACAGGAAAGGACTGTTCACTCACCAAGTTTGCTAATGGCACACACACACACACACACACACACACACACACACACACACTTTCCTGGAGATCAGAGCTTAATTGTAAATCTGGGTCTTTGAATATTGCACCCTGTGGCCTTGGGCTGAGTCCAGTTTCTAACCAAATGCTTCAGACCCGCCCCCGAAGGGAGCCGTCACCCCTTCAGGAGTTGAGCCTGCACACTCTGCTTTGACTATTTAGTCTTTTCTTCATCTTTTTGCTTCTTTCTGTTCTCTTTCATCTGTGCACCCATTTCCTTCTTCCCTGCGTTGACTTTAATCTCATAAATGCTTCCTCCCTATAATTTATGAGCCATTTTCCTCCTCTGTCTGGCTCGGCCGCCTGTACCTTACTACAGTCTTAGCATTGGCAGGTTTGTTCCTAACTTTTCCTTTTCTGTCTCTTCCCTCTTAGCTTCCACGAGGACTGCTCTTTCCTTCTCCCTTCACGATTTTTAAAATCTGTTTCTAAGCCTTTGGATGAAAGCAGATGACTAAAAACACAGGGAAAATAGAGGTCTGTGCTCCTCCTCTAGGTGTAGACATGGGCATATGTAAGCTTCATACACAACCATGCTCTAGTGAGACGGGAGGCTTTATTTCCAACTTATGGGTAAGAAAACTGAGATGAGGAAGTCAGAGAAGTGAAGAAACTTTCTAAGGTAGCTTGGCTAAAAACTTGGATTGGAACTCTCAGCCTCTAAACCTAGGCTGTTTCTGTGAAATTCGATTGTCCTTAATGACCTTGGAAGTAGAGTCTGTTTCTGTTTTGAGGTTTATAAGGATTCCTCCCCTGTGAAGCCAAGGGGTAGAGAGTGGCATCCAGCCTTTAGTCCCCTGATTCTAAGTGGTCCCTGCCTCTCTGATGCCTGCTTCAGTCCACTTACTTCCCCAGACATGTCGCTCTGCCTCCCTCAGTCTCCCCTTTGTGCCCTTACAATCCGCTACTATCCTCTGCCACGGGGCCTTCTGATTCTCTATGCCCCTTTCTTCAAATATGCTGACATAGTCCATTTATAGAAGTGCACACTAGGAAAAAAAAAGGCTCCCTTATGTAAGGCAGAGTCTGTGCAAGTCCTTTCTGAACCTCTGATACAAAGGCCTGTCAAACAAGACGAACACTTCCATTCATTCATTCACCAACAAATACCCTACCAAGCACTTTTATGGGCACTCAGTGATGGATAAACAGAACTACTGCCTTTAGAGACCTAAAAAGTGATGGATGTGGGAGGTCCAGGGAAGATACCTGTGCAAAAGCTTCTCAGGTACCCAGGCAGAAAGGCCAGAAGGCAGACTCTGAGAAGTGTCTTGTGATCGCAACTTGGGAAAATCAGAGAAAGCTTCTAAGAGAGGGTGGCAGGCACTGTAATGAAGCCACCAGCGTCTGGTAGGTGTTGCAGGTTAAAGCTCCAATTGCAATTGCTTTCTCTCTAAACAGATCTTTTGCCTGCATCAGAAAGTGTTTCGCTATCACAGGTACAGAGCAAGAAGAATCTAAATATTTCTAGAAACTTTATCAACCTCCCCTGCAGTTAAGGCTTGGGCATGTGATACAGACTTTACCAATCAAACTGAGCTACTCCAGATTCTGGAAGAGAATGTGGCATCACACAGAATCCACCAAGAGCCAAAGTGTCAACTTTGGGGGAATTACATACAGATTTCATTATTTGTAGAATGAGTTTCACTGTATGGAGCTTAGTGTCTTGGTATAAACCACTGAAAATCTTTGTTAAGCACCTCCTTCTGATTCATAGTGTGCTTGCTGTTACAAAGACCATACTGGTTCTAGGTTGTGATTTTTATCTGTGCTCTGCCCATCAGGGATCCTTAGATCAGACCATGGACTCATTTGGTGATTCTGTGTGATCTAATCTCACAGAATTTTGGATTGTCTTTTTACTTAAATTATTCAGAATTAGTTTCTGTTGTTTGGAACCCAGACATCTGTCTGAGAACATAGGAATGCAGAAACAGAGGGCAGCAAGGGCAAACATTATGATGGGTAGTGTAGGAAGGCCAAGGAGGAAGAGAAAGAGAGAAAGGGAGAAGACAATGCATAAAAGTTGGCCACAGAGCACAGAACCAACGTTAGTGGCAAACCCAGAGAGACTGCAGGAAAAGAATTCGGGTTTCAGAGCACGTGATCCTGACTCCAGAAACCACCATAAAGGTATATCTACTATAATGATAATCTCTGTCGTACACATGGTGGGTGCTCAATAAATTATAATTATTATTTTGATACATGGCCTAAGAAACATCTACAATTTACTCACAGTTATGACAGCTAAGGATTAAGAAAGATGGGAAACTTGATGTTAATCTCACTTTCCAAGAGGCAGGAAACAGAGGTATCTGACTCCTCAACTTTCCTCCTCCCTCCCACACCTTGCAGGCAGCCCCCACATCTGTAAATGCCTGTCCTGGACTTGGTGGTCACTACTCTTTACCATGAAGTCACTCTCTTTCCTTCTACCCTCGATTTACTTTATTATTGGTTTGATTAGCTTTATTACATCAATGTTTTATTTTTTCTTGCCTAAGGCCCCCTAGACCTCCATTTCTGACTCTGCTAATCTAAAATTCCATTTGCCTTTCATTCTTTCCATTCTTCCTCCAAAATATTTCCTGTTATTTCATCTTTTGTATTTCACATTTGCCTATATAGGTAAACTTTTAAGGATTTTCTCTCCCCCCCATTTTTTTTTATCATGTATCAAAATCTATTCCAGTTTTTCTGTTTACACTACCTGGGGTGGTTGGCTAGCCAGGGGCTGGGAAGGGAATCTTTGCTTATACACAAGCCTTGCTGTCTACCTACTGGGTCAGGCCACCTAAAGGCACCTACTGGACCTTTTGATTTCTCATTTGTGAAATGGGCAAGGTACTCCCCATTTCTCAGGGTCATTATAGGAATTAAATGAGACCATGCATGGGAAATCGTCTCACACCTATGAAGCTCTCATTAATGATACAAGCAAATCCAATCATCGTACACATCTTACCTGCTGTTCTCTCCTCCCATCTCCTGTCGAGGAGACTTCATCACAACCATTTGGCCCCCATATAGAAATCTCATTTCTGTTATCTAAGTATTTCAAGCTCCTGGACCCAGCATCTTTATAGACTCATCTCTGCCTACATAGAAGTCCCTTTCTTTCATCTAGCCAACCTCACTCCCTAGTTGCCAATCAATAAAATATGTCATTTAATATGACCTCTCAGACAGTTATCTACTCTGTTTTCCACCTCTGCATGCTTTTTTGGTTTAGCACAGTTATATTTAATCAAACTTATTCAATATTTTAGTGATAGTCAGTTCCCTAGTGTTGTTTCTGTATATATTTTCCCACCAGATTTTGAACTTTAATATACCAAGATGTGGGTTTGGGTGGGGGAAAAGATCAGTCAGTAAACTGCTGCCTTGCAAGTATGAGGACCGGTGTTCACTTTCCAGGAAGAATATAAAAAAAAAAAATCATGCTGGCATGTTCTAGTAATACCAGTGCTGGGAAGGCAAATACAAGGGGATCTATGGGACTTAACAACCAACTGGCCTAGTCTGCTGGGTAAGCTACAAGCCAGTATCTGGGAAAAAATGTGTGTGAGTGAGGGGGAGGTAAATGGTATCTGAAGAATGAAGCCCCAAGTATGTTCTCTGGTACCTAAACACATGTTCACAAGAACCCACCCACATCCATTCATTCATACATCCTTAAGCATAAAGACTAACACACGCAAATATATCAGAGCTGTATCAGTTGCCACTATGTCTACATCCAAGCCAGTGCAGTAATCACCAGGGAGTAAACCCTCAAAGTATCGTTCCAGAAATGATGGGAGATTTATTGAATTTACTGTGAGACAGTCTTCAAAATAGCAATTAACTATACATCTACAGAGAATAGAATAGAGCATTGTTTTTTTTTTAAATTCTGTAATAAACATCTCTATATCTGCCCATCCCTACTACCTCCTTCCATCTCTGTCTCTGTCTCTCTCTCTGTGTCTCTGTCTCTGTCTCTCTCTCTCTGTTTCTGTCTCTGTCTCTCTCTCTCCCTCCCTCCCTGTTTTCTACGATTCAAGTAATTTTTTAAAAATATCCCTTCTTCCTTAAGCCTCAAGATGATTAGTGGGCCACAAATAAACCCCAGTTCAGGACAAAGGACTACTATCTCAGGTTCTATCTCTGCTCTGTCTGAGCTCAGACACCCTCTTCATCAACCCTCTGTGCTCAGAATCTCCACCATTTGTTTTCCCT